TAAATGTATGTATATACTGATTTGTGCATTTCTCTTTAAGGTCAGAAATAAAGGGGTACCTGCCTTCACAGACTGGGCTCCGTAATAAAGTGGAGGAGATCCTCACTTTCTGTCAGGGTCGGATTGCTGCCATGCAGTCCCTTAGCCCTCAACATGCCAAAGTACAATTCATTGGTAGGTAGTATCTCTTCTCTAGCTCATCTTTTCTCTTCCTCCTCTGTTGCTAATATTTGTCTAAATTCTGTATTTTTCAGAGACTCTGAGTTCTCTGCCCCAGTTTGGATCCAACACTTTCCTGGCTGAGAAGGTGAGCCAGCGTGGTTGTCCTTCTCCGTGTGTGGTCTGCATCAACCAGGAAGGAGTGCTGTTCCTACACTCCAAAACACAGGTGCTGGTCTTTTAAAGAGTGTCTCTTGCCTTCTGTCCTTCTTTTCTGAACCTGATGATTTTTTCATAGAGTTTAGTGTTTTTTCATTAAATAAGTCTGAAGCATAATTTGTCCTGTGTCAAGCCACAAATCTCTCTGCTAATGCTAAGCAAAAGGTGTATGATACATCATATCAGCTGTTTTGTTGTTGTCTCTATTTGATGCAGGAGCAAGTGTTTCGGATTCCTCTGACTGACGTTCAGTTCATGCGCACCATTCACCCCAATAAAAAAGGCAAGGTGCCAGCCGTGGACATCGACTATGGCAATCCAGCTGCTCCTAAAAGAATCACCATTCATCTCAAACAGGTAATGACTTTTTGATCTGTTTTTATTTCACTGTGTGTGTTCTGTATTTTCCTGGAACAAAAAAGCATTTTCCTCGTTTGGTCTGTTCCACAGTCGGATTAGAGGATAAAAATGTCCTGATACTTCTGGGGGTTTTTCATACTATTTGTTTTCCATAATTTGGCATTTCCAATTAATCTTTTTTATTCAATCAGTTGTTTTAACATTTGACCAAAGCATCCCTTAATACATTAAAAAAACATCCATTTACTTTCTCCAGTGTTATAAATCCTCTCATTTAAAGACTTTTTCAATAAATGATTACTCACATGTCAAAATGCTTGTCAATGATTTTGTGCAGTGGGTTAACTTCTAATTTGGTGTCAGTGACACACATCACCAAAGAAGTCGTCAAAAGATTTTTGCATTCAAGTCTAATTTAATTTTTAAATCTCTGTTTCAGGCTAAACAGTTGTGCCACACCCTTGCTCTAATAATGGAAGAGCTGATTCGACCGGCAATCTCCAGCTCCATTTCAAAGTAGATTCAGTAGATACAGAGAGAAAAGACAGGTTTTGTTCTTTTTATTGTTATTGTTGTTTTATTATTGCTATTGTTGAAACAAACTGAGTAGAAACATGCAGAAATGATCCTGATATGTGTCCTGTCCTGTGTCCTATAAATGGAAACCTGCAACACGTAACACTCATTAAGGAGCATACCAAGTTAGAGACAATAAAGTATCAGAATAAACGTTTGATCATAATCTGAACTGTAAACTGTTGTTGGAATGCAAAGTTGATTAATTATTGGAATGAATGCTGATGTCATTTAAGTAAATTAGCATCATTAAAGATTTACATTACCTGCTTACACTACATTCAGTCACTGGTGATGGCAGCTACATTGTAGCCACAGCTGCCCTGGGGCACACTGACAGCGGCGAGGCTGCTGGACACTGGCGCCACCGGGCCCTCTGACCACCACCAGTAGGCAAACAAGGTTAGTGTCTTGCCCAAGGATATTTGGCATGCAGCCAAGAGGCAGCCTGGGATCGAACCACCGACCTTCTGATTAGTGGCTGACCTGCTCTGCCACCTGAGCTACAGCCACCCCATTAGATCAATAAATCGTATGTGCATTGTTTCCTATCTTCTTTCACTAGTAGGCTTCCATAAATGAAGTATAATGATCACAGATGCAATCTGAAAGCTGTAATTCTGATCAAATTTACAACTCTGCCGTTAATCAAAGCAATAAATATTTTACTTTATGACAATTCACAAATGAGTACTCCATGACTGCACACCTACTGAGCTTTACTTAAGTATACATCAAGACAAGCTTTCTCAGTTATTCTTATTTCAATGTGATACGTATTTAGGAAGACATAATGTGGCTGGGCTCTCGCTTAGAGATGGGGTGAGGAGCTTGGTTTGGGAGGGACTCTGAGCAGAGGCGCTGCTCCTCCACATCAAAAGGAGCTAGATGAGGTGATCCAGGCATCTCCAAGTCAGACCAAGACCAACCCCAATTCCAGAAAAAAAGTAAAATATAAATAAAAACCAAATATTTTATTTGCAAATCTCATAATTCACAATAGAAAATAGAAAACTGAGCCATGGGGGCGACTATGGCTCAGGGGGTTGGGAAGCGTATCTGTAACCGGAAGGTCGCCGGTTTGATCCCCGGGCTCTCTGTCCTGGTCGTTGTGTCCTTGGGCAATTTTGATAATTTCAGTAAAATTCACAAATAATACATCTAACAGTCTTAAGAGCTTGAAAAAAGAAAAAAAGTTTCTGAAGACATTTTTCTTCTCATCCAAGAGCCTTCTTCAATCTATAACTATCAAGGACCAAGCAGCCAAGAACATACAGGTACAGGTTTAATCTTCAAGAAATGGGTTTTATTATACTGCAAAACAAAGTTACTACAAAAATAATTCAAAATGACAGAAACCGTCGAATAGCTCATCTCTCTTGGGAACATCTTGCAGCTAACAAAAGCCACTCGGTGTCATTCATCCAGTGGTCCCTGTAGAAAAACAGGACCCTTATAATGGATTGGATTTATACAGCGCTTTTCAAGGCACCCAAAGCGCTTTACAATGCCACTATTCATTCACTCTCACATTCACACACTGGTGGAGGCAAGCTACGGTTGTAGGGTAAAGCGTCTTGCCCAAGGACACAACGACCAGGACTTGGGCTATACAAGTCTGTACTCTTATTCAGTGACTGGAGCATTGCCTCTGTCTCCTCCGTCCACCAAATCTAGTTAGGACACCTAGAGCCTATTACATTGGTGAGGGGGAGACGCCCTGGCAGAGAGGGATAAATAGGGATACATCGGTGGTAGAACCCTGCCATGCCAAGAAAAGATGTAAGTTTTCTTGTCTGTGGCAAAGGGCAGGACTCAACAGCACCAATTTTGCTTACTTGCGGTTTTATCACCCCATTTCCTGTGACAAATCCCAGATATTCAGTTTCATCTTTGACAAAGACACATTTTGATGGATTAACAGTTAGCACAGTTGCTTGGAGATGCCCTCGTACCTTTGCTAGATGTTTGAGGGGTTCGTCTCAGGTATAGCTATAAATCATAATATCATCAAGATACGCTGCAGTTAACTCTGACAAAACACACAGTACCTCATCCATCAGCCTCTGAAATGTTGCAGGGGCTCTACGTAATCCAAAAGGCAGGACTGTGAATTGGAATAGCCTTCATGGTGTCCAGCAGGTGGTCAGCTCCCCTGAGCGTTGAGTGAGTGGTACCTATGTTAGGTATAATAATGAACAATAGCTTATGAATTTAGACATGCAGACAGTGTCCCTTCACCTTTAAACCTCTACACTTTCTGTCTAAACACAGATGATAAGGTAAACAAAATAATAAACAAAACCAACTAAGTCCCACCAGAGAAAACTAACTAAACCCTAAGAAAGAACACAAGGCACACATAAGCACTCATATAGACTCATATACTCACATTTCTGGTCTGAGTCTGCTGTCAAATCGGTTCACTCTCGCTCGCTTCTCTCTCTCTCTTCCGGCAGCTGTCGGAACAGCTTTTTTTAACCCAGTCCAATGATCCATGGTCCAATCAGCAGCCTACTGCTCTTTATTAGAGGAAGGACCTGCAGAGATTCTTAAAACACAGTAAAGAAACACAACACAGCAGCTAACACAGATTTCCTATGGCCACGGGCCGTAACAGGTGCTGCTCCCCTGAATTGGACAAGGCTGAGTGCTGAGAGGCTGGGACCAGCTTGGGGCACCAACAAAGGAAGAATTAAGTGTAAATTATGATTTCTCCCCATCAGTTTTAACCAATCAGATAGACGCACATTCTCATATAAAACTTTGTATACTGTTAAGCTGAGGTACTCTTTTGGGAAGATGGACCGCAGCAAACTGTTCTACAGCCTGTGGTTATTGAACAAAAGAGATCCATGTGCATGATAATTTTTTTTTTATCATTTAATGCTTTACTAAATAATAATTGAAGGAAGAAGTGTTGTACTGGTGATTTCTCAAGGTAGATAAAGGAACACATTATCACCTGCCAATAGCCCTTGCAGAGAACTAGAGTTGTGAGGTATCAGGCTTTCCAAGGCGCTCAATCATATCATTAATTCTAGGTGTCAGGTATGAATGTTGCCATCTTATACCTGCTAGCTCCAAGTTTCTACTGGATCTGAAAAGGTCCTTGCCATTTAGCTAGCAGTTTGCTATCGTTACTTGGAAGGAGTACAAGTACCTTTTGTCCAAGATTAAATTACCTCTCCCGGGCTGACCAATCATATCACACTTTCTGATGTTGGTGGGCATCTGCCATACAAGCTTGGAGCTAGCTCAGTCATCTTCTCCAAGTCACTCTTTCATCACAAGAGATAAAATTAGTAGCCCCTGCCGCTCTCTGGTCACCCTCCCGTGTCTCTTTTAGTAAAGAGAGAGAGCCCCTTAATTCATGACCACATATCAGTTTTCATTTAACAATTTGCGTAACATTTGCTTCAGGGTCTGTTTGAAGGGCTTAGTCAGTCAGTTTGAGGGTGGTAAGGAGTGGTTTTCAGGCTTTTGATACCAACAAGCTGGTAAATGGACTGATTCTTATATAGCGCTTTTCTACTCTCCCGGAGTACTCAAAGCGCTCTATACAACACGCCACATTCACCCACTCACACCCATTCTCACAAGCACTACCTCTATACTAACTACACTCATACGAAAAGCAACTTGGGGTTAGTATCTTGCCCAAGGATACTTGGCATGCAGACTGGAGGAGCCAGGGATTGAACCTCCAACCTTCCGATCAGTAGGTGACCTGCTCCACCTCCTGAGCTACAGCCACCCGTAGACCTGCTCTAATAAAGTTGGCATAAAATTAGTTCCACAGTTTATCAGGATCTCATGAGGGAATCCCAACCTTGAAAAAAACTGCACCGGACAAAAAGCCTCAGATTTTGCTTTTATACACTTCAGAGGAAAAACTTTAAGATACTTGAAATTTAATCTGCAAGCAAAGCAGGCAACCATTATATGACCAGCAAATAACGGTTGCCTGATTTGCTTTTCTCAACAGGTCTGACAATGTCCGTTCCCAACCATTCAAATGGGGTGCTAATAATTGGTAAAGGCTCTGGAGGGGATTATTGATGTTAGGCCACATCTGCACACAGGCCTGGCCAGTGCAAATGCATCCTAATGTGTGTGCAATGGTTTTATGCTTCCCCAAATGACCTGCCCATGGCACAGAGTGCCCCAAATTTAGTACCACATCCCTGACTCT